CAGGGGGCCACATGCGAACCCTACCCCTACCCCCCACGATTTCTGAGGGGGAGGGTGGGGTTCACTTCGTTCGGGACCTCCCGAGCGAAGTGAACCCCACCCTCCCCCTCAGAGATCGTGGGGGGTAGGGGTAGGGTTCGCACGTGGCCCGCTATCTTCAGCGTTTCCAGATCAATTTGAAGGGGAACTGGAACACACAAATAAATACATACAAATAAAAAGATTCCCCATATTTTCCCATATTTTCTGTGTTTCTGTCTTCCCCCCCACTTCCCATATTTTCCCATATTTTCTGGGGAATCGCCGATTAATTGTGTCTGTGTTTCTTTCCCTCCTGACAATTGGTTGCACTGTTCAACACTGCCGTCTACGACGTCTCCAACTCCCTCTCCTGGCGGGGTGCAGGCCGCGCTGGAGGCGCCGCGCGCGGAGGACGCGCGCCCGCGCGCCGACCAGGCCGCGGCGGAGCGGGAGGCCGCGCAGCTCAGGACCGGGGGCGTCCAAGATCCAAGGGGGGCGGGGGGAGTCTGGAGGGCGTCTCCGAAGGGCTTAGCCTCCTCCCTCCTCCTCCTCCTCCTCCTCCTCCTCCTCCTCCTCCTCCACCTCCTCCTCCTCCCCCTCCTCCTCCTCCTCCTCCTCCTCCTCCTCCTCCTCCTCCTCCTCCTCCTCCTCCTCCTCCTCCTCCTCCTCCTCCTCCTCCTCCTCCCCCTCCCCCTCCAGCTCTCTCAGTCCGACTGCTCGCAGCCCTCGGAGACCCTCCGGGGACGTCGCGCCTCGGGGCCCGATGGCCGGCTGCCCCTGTCGGGGCCACCGGGCCTCCGGCGGGCCTGTGGCGGGCCAGTGTCAGGCCGGCGCTGGAGCGTCCTGTTTTGTTTTTGTTTGTTTTGGCGTTGACAGCTCTGCGAGGGAGAACGGCGGCAGAAACGAAGGATGGGAGTGAGGACAGCAGGGAAGACAAGGAACAACCTTCGACAAGAAAGCAAAAAACACTGAAACATGATGATCCACAGCGACGGGCCTAACACCGCTGAACAAACGAGACTAAAAACGTCAAAACACCGTCGCGTTGTTTTTGCGTTTTTAGCTTGTCAAGATTCCGAAGTGCAAGACGGCCAGGGCGTTTTCAAGAAGAACCAAGTTGGTGTGCTCTTGGGTTTTCTTTTTGTTGTGTTGCTTGTGGCAGCCCGGCGAGGAGTATCAACATCATGAAGGGTTGAAAAAGCCTGGGGCATCTTGGCTACTGGCGCCACTGCCTCAGGTGCGGAGGATTGGATTCGGCTCTGCGGCGAGGGGAAGGCTAGCTGCGAAAGCGCAGGCAACGCATGGCAAGCAGGCTCATGCCCCTGCTGAGGTACTGCGCCTTGCAGAAAGCATGCGCCCCGCGCACAGCGGAAAAGGATGTTCTTGAACCTCTACGGCTACAGGCCCCCGCAGCAGGGGCTCTCCCTCTTCTAGGTGACTGCACTCCCGCAGCAAAAACAGCGAGAGACTGTGACCCCGACTCAACGTCGAGGCTGCACAGCAGAAAAGGAGCTCATAAAGGAGGACGAGGAGGAGGGGGAGGGGGAGGAGGAGAAGGAGAATTTCCCCACCAGGATCCTCTCCATCGTATCCCCCACAGTCAGCCAGCTCGTCCACTACCTCACTCGGCGAACCCGCGAGACGCCGAAAACAATTCTTGCACCACTTGCTGTCAGCACCTTGGCTGCCAAGCGGGCGGGAGGCTGCCCTCCAAGAGCAGATGTCCCCGCGGTCGGAGAAGTCTCAGGGCTCGCGAGCACGCTGACGGCGCACACCCAGGGGGGTTATACGACGGTGGGCGATCTTCCACCTTGCTGGAAATCTCCGACTCCTCCTGGAACTCTAGCCGCCCTGAACACAATTGCCATCAAGACCCGATCAATGTTTGAGAATATTGGGCCGCGGGTGTTGGTTCGAACAGATGCCGCGCTGACAACGTGGCTCTGTTCACGTGGTGACTGCGCCTCTCTCTGCCTCGCTCTTTCTCTCTCACTCTCATTATGTAGTTGTGTTGCTCTCTCTCTCTCTGTGCACAGAGTACCAGAGAGCAGTCGGGCCCGTCAAGATGGCTGCGCACAGCTCTGCGGATAAACAGCACGACGCCAATCATCGCTGGGCGGCTGGACGACGGAGGATTATTTAAACCTCCACGGCTGCATGCCCTCAACTCGCCATCGCTCGGACGTCCATTCCCCGTGCATGTTTCGGTTTCGTGCGTTTATTATTCGGAAGGTGATCCAAGATGCTCCTTTTGTGTACTTCGCCGATGAAAACATGTACGAGTGGTGCCAGGCCATTGAAGGGGTCTCAGGCGAGGGGAGGAAACTGACATTCCTCTCCCTCTTGTTCTGCGGGGGGGGGGGGCGACTCGGGAGAGAATAGCCCAAACGAGCGCAGACGCTGCGTCGCGTCACCAGGCCCGAACAAGAAGTCTGTGCTGCGGAAGACCAGGCTCCTCGCGACTGATGCAGAGTGAACATCTGCATGAGCAGTTTGACAGACATGCGAGGTTGAAAGAGGGGCCGCTGGCGAGCACCATCGCTACGCAAAAAAACAGTTCTCAAGCGCTTTACCCCCCCACACACTTACGGAGGGTACTAGATGCTCTCGTTTAGGAGACTGCGAGCCTTGGCTGTCTCGGGAACGGAATGCTGCACGGGCGACGGCAGGAATAGTGTTTCGACGCGGGAGCTCCGCGAATGTGCATCGGTCAGCTCCCCCTCCTCCCCCTCCTCCTCCTCCTCCTCCTCCCTCCTCCTCCTCCTCCTCCTCCCCCTCCTCCTCCTCCTCCTCCTCCTCCTCCTCCTCCTCCTCCTCCTCCTCCTCCTCCTCCTCCTCCTACGCCTCCGCACCCTCCCCCTGGACACGGCCCGAGACCAGGAGATGACTCCTGCACCACGCGCTGGCCCAGGCGGGCGGCGCTCCAGCCCCTTCGGACGCCGGAGGGGCCAGCGGCTCGACCGAGCGCACGGGAGGCTGCCGCGGGGAGCCGGGCGGCTGCCCTGCGAGGGCGAGGCGCGAGCCGCCCCTCTCTTTCGGCGGCGCGCGCGCGCGGCCGACCTCTGCCGCTGCCCCGGCCGAGCGCGCGGTCGCGAGGCGAGGCCGCGGGCAGCCTCGCTCCGTACCGGGGTCGGGATGGCGGGGGGGTCGAAGCGGAGCGTCGGAGGGCGACCAAAATCTTATATATATATATATTTATTTATTATTATTAAAATATAAATATGTGCATTAACTGTAACAGCTCATCATTATTCACTGGTAGCAATGATGTTTACAAAAAATATATGGCTAGATATTGATATTCTAGATGAATATGGTTGGTTTAATACTTTTGTACTCCATTCTAACCATATTTCTGAATTGCGCAGGGAGACGTGGTGGGGGAGGGGGGCACCGCGGAGGCGAGGACCTTGTCCGAGCTGCCTCCCCGCTGCCCCCGGCCGGGAGCGCGGTCGGCATCCGGCGGGGAGGTCACGCCGGCGGGGCGAGGACGGGTCCTGCGCTCCGCAGAGGATCAGAGCTTATCTGCTCGAAAACTGCACGACGGCCGGGCATCCATTCTGCATGTTCGTTTCCTGCCAACTTGGCCTCGCTCCTGCTCACAACAGAAGCCCCGCTCCGACGACAACCGACCGGGACACGAAGCGACATCATGCCAGGAGTCCGTGCTGGTGGCCCAGTGCCTGGGAGAACAGCTCAGCTAGGCATCGCAAGGTGACGCGGACGGAGCTCCAAGTCCTCTGCCATACCGCCTCGAATGGATGATGTTCGCACTGCTCCTCCCCCACCGATGTTGCACCTATGATCCCTGCTGCACTCGGCTGCTAGAGGTACAGAAGTGCTGGAACCCGAGGAGGGGGCAAGCAAGTGGGTAGTGCGCAGCCACTGCCTCGCTGACGCAAGTGTTACGCACTGGCGCTGGTGTCGCAGACGTATCGGTCATGGTCAACCCAGCTGTGCATCCCAATTCGCCGGCCCAACGGGCCAGGGCGTGCTAAGATCTCCGGTAACTGGTTAACAGTATTAACAGTATTTCTAGTTCGCGCGCGCGGGGCGGCCCCTGGGGGTCCCCCGGCGAAAAGTACCCCGACCAACGCCCGGTCGCCGCCCGACCGCCGCCCGACCAAGTCTACTCAGAGATGGTTTTCCTTCTGGGTGCGGCCTCTCAGGCTCCCCAGAGCGCGCTCAGAGTGCCCCAAGAGGCCCCCAAGACTGCCCAAGAGGCCCCCGAGACGCCCAAAGAGCGCTCGAAGACGCCGAAGATGACCCCAAGACGGCCCAAAAGGCCCCCAAGACAGCCCAAGAGGCCTCCAAGACGCCCCAAGAGCCTTCCAAGAGGCCTCCGAAGAGAGCCCCAAGAGGCCAAAATCGTTGATGTTCATTGGTTTTTCGATGTTTTTTGTGTTCTGGCTTTTTCGGCTTCCGGACGCTCCAAGACGGCCCAAGAGGCCCCCAAGACCGCTCCAAGACGGCCCACGAAGCTCCCAAGACGGCGCCGAAACGACCCAAGAGAGCCCTCAAGACGGCCCAAGTGCCGCCCAAGACGGACCAAGAGGCCCCAAGACGGGCCCAAGAGGGACTCAGGAGGGATACCGAGAACTCAAAAATGGAGCCCTCCGTCCCAGAAGGCGCCCAGGAGGTCCCAAAGAGGCCCCAAGAGGCCTCCAAGAGGCCCCAAGATGTCGCCAAGAGGCCCCAGGAGACTCCCAGGAGGCCCAAAAGAAGCCCCAGAAGGCTTCAAACATGTCTCCCAGGCGCCCCCGAACGGCCTCTCAACAGACCCCAAGAGGCCCCCCAAAGAAGCATCTTGACGACGACTCTATTTCGCCCCATCGAGAGACGACCCCCAGGGAACTGCTTCACCATCAAAACTCCCCACGCAACGCGTCCGAACGACACCCGCCCCCAAGAGCGCAACATGGGCAACGAACACACAGACAAAAACCAGCGATGCCATATCACGGGCCGGCGGAATGAGCGAAGCGATTCAATAAAGTGCAGATGAATAGTGGCACACAGCGAAAATATTAACATGATTGTCGACGTCCTAACTCTTGTGACCAATCCATTTAAACTATTAGACAGCATCAGAACAATGCTCCAGATGCAGACTCCATCGACGATCAACTCCACAACAAAAGACATGACCCAATTACTGACGATCACCTTTGCACTCCTGATCTCACCTATGCTGTAAATACGGGGCTCGGCGAATAAAGCATAGCTAAGGCAACTGTGCAGCGCAATATGTTCCGACAGCATCTCGCTCACGATGGATCCTAAGAACACGTCCACGTGCACCATCGCGACGTCCTGAGACTGCGGGGTGTGTTTGTTGAAGGTGTACACGGCGAGTAGCACGGAAATGCCGTTGAGAAGCAGCTCCAGCATCGCTGTCGCCAGAATTGCGACCGTGGCATCATCCCCATCGATCAAGCCAATCATGTATCTTCGCAACGTTGTCGAAATACTGACATCATAACCGAAGAATCTGGACCAACCTCCCAACGGCGGCACGTCGATGCCCTTCATGCACAAGCGCATCACAAGCCCAGCGCCACGAGCAATTATGTAGCCAATGGAAATTCCACTTCCTGGAATCATACCTGTAACCGTGGGTGATAGGTTGCGCAACACAATTCAACGTCAAAGCCGCTACAAGGCATACGTTCAACACCACGCGGGGATATCTCGATACAAGTCCTTTAGTTGAATATTTTGCGCGTATGCCATTCCATGTAATGCCTCCCAACGTCACACAAACGAAAGTCATTGAAATTACAGGGTCCACAGATTTGGGAAGTGAGTCGCTACCGATAGAGCTTAGATGCAAGTATAGCGGCGTGGTCATAGCTGCAAGGCAACAACTAAGTGTCGCTGCTTGACCAACGGCGCTGCATGCTTGTGTGAACAAATACGTAACCACCGAGCTACTCATAACCACTTCTTAGAACTTGGGGGGAGACACCCGGGCACGCACTGTATTGTATGGGAGCTCCCGCCCGAGTTTGTCACACTGGCAGTGGTGAAACATGCGGTCCAGTAACTAGTCGATGTCGACATCACTACCAGAGGCATGACCCTGCCCAACGCGCAAAAATATACCAAAAAAGCTCGCAATGAAACCTAACGAGAGCATTGAGGCTGTGCCCGGATGGAAACCACTACGGGAATATTTCGAGGGCTTCCATCCGCGAAAAGGTCGTCGAACGTCGACGAGAAATATGGACGACGCCTCGACTTACGACGCCTCCGACTTTCAAGTTGGAACTCATGAGGCAACTGCTTGGAAGTAACATTCGTGTGTTCCTTGGCATGCGCATCGGCACGACAACGATGGATCTTCGTCATGCGGCTCCCACAATGCTTTTACGTTGCTAGGGCGTCGCAGACTCTGTGCTGCGCAAAGCGCGTGCGGCTCGAATCGTGATCAAAGAAGTTTGAGCGAGATTTGCTTGATCCGAAATGGCTACGGAAGTATGTTCTTGGAGATCATGCGCAAGTCTGGAAAGCGCATCGGAAGCGAAAACGCGAAAACGGAAAAGTCATTGATGTTCATTCGGGGTTTCAATGTTTCTCGCCTCTTAGGGGGGTCTCTTGGGCGGTGTTGGGACCCTGTTGGAGGCCTCTTGGCACTCTTGGGTGCTCGTGGGGGTCTCGTGGCCGTCAGGAAAAAATGTCCAGGGCTGTCTGGGAGACCTTGTGGGGCGTCTCGGAGCCATCCTGGGCCGTGTCGAAGCCTCCTGGGGATCCCGGGAGGCCTGGCAGGGCGGTACCGGGGATTTGCCGCAAACCTTCCCGAGGTGTGGGGCGTCCTGGGGGGGGCGAATAAAATGTGTATATTTTTGTACAGTTGTATACATGTGTTTACCTATAGAGCTATATATACATACATACATATACATGATGTGCATACATCCATCCATCCATCCATCCCTCCCTCCATCCATCCATCCATCCATCCATCCATCCATCCAGACAGACAGACAGACAGACAGACATATATACATACATACATGCATACATTACATAATGCAAACATACATACATACATACATACACGCATGGATGCATACATGCATACATCGCCAACCGTCACCCAAGGCCGAGGCGGCTGGCCTCGGGCGCGTAGCCGTTTTCCCGGCGCGCCTCCTGGAGCACCTCCAGCGCGCGCATGGGACGCCTGGCCTCGGGGTACGGGCCCGTGCACGGCCGGTACGAAGACGCATCCACCGCCGAAGACGACGCCGATGACGACGCCACCAAAGACGACGCCGACGACCACGACGACGACGACGACGACGACGACGACGACGACCACGACGACGACGACGACGACGACGACGACGACGACGACGACGACGACGACGGCGGCGACGACGACGACGACGACGGCGGCGGCGGCGGCGGCGGCGGGCACGCCCGCTGTGCCCACGACGCTGCCTGCAGGGCACGGAGCGGGCTCTCGCCGTCGGGGCTGTCTTCGCCCCTCCTCTTCGAGCTTCGCGCGGCCCGCTCGGCTTCGACCGGAAGAGGTGCGCAACTCGACCCGCGAATCGAAAGCTGTCTCCGCCCCTCCTCGCACTGCCCGCAGCGGCCTTGCTGCACGCCTGGATCAGCGTGTTGTACGTCACGTTGTTCGGCGGCACCTGTCCGCGGGCACGCAGGCCACGAGCGAGGAGACCCCAAGAAGGCAGGCAGTGGGGCGAGACTCGAAGGGTAAGCCGAGCAGCCCGACATCGTCAATGCGCGCAGTTGAGTGAAGCAAAACGGTGTCGACCGGCCCCTGAGCTGCCAGGTGGAACAGACTTGTCGCGGCAGCTGGGTTCCTGGTGTCCAGAATTGGCCCGTCGAGCGCTAGCAGGATCGTACTGCTGAGAGCGTGCAGCTTGCCTTTCGAGGCCTGTTTGAAGACTGCTCGGAGATCCACCACACCGCCCAGAACTCAACCACCACTCATTGTGAGCAAGCGCGGGCTTCGGACGAGTGCTGGGTTGGCACCAAGGGCTGGTTCGCAAGCCGCCCCCCCCCTTCTCTCACCAGGAACCGGAGCTCGCCTAACGACACTCGAAGCAAGAAGCACGAAGCACGAAGCGCGAAGCACGCCCACACATGTGCACCGTCTGGGGTGCTGCTGGCGCGGCGTCGGAGCGCCAGGGGCTGAGTCGCAAGCCGCCACCCCCCCTTTCTCAACGGAAACCGAAACTCGCCCATCGACACTCCCCAACAGACATCGCCCCCAGACATCCGCCCCCTGGGCCTCCGGGGCCATGACGCTGAGGGATCTGGAAGCGCGCCCTCGCCTATACCTCCGTGGGGCGCAGCGGGGGGACATCGACCTGGGATCCGCGACACGGCGACCACACAGACCGGCGATGGACCCTCGACAGCGCAGCCAAATCCGCACGCTCATGGGTGGGGCGGGCTATCGGGCCCCTGTCGGCGATCCATGGGCGAGTGGGGCCCGGCCGCGTGAGCTGATCCGCAAACCCCTCCCCTCTGCCATCCCCCCCCCCTCCTCCTCCTCCTCCTCCGCCTCCTCTCCTCCTCCTCCTCCTCCTCCTCCTCCTCCTCCTCCTCCTCCTCCTCCTCCTCCTCCTCCTCCTCCTCCCTCCTCCTCCTCCTCCTCCTCCTCCTCTCCTACTACCTCCTCCTCCACCTCCTCCTCCCTCCTCCTCCTCCTCCTCATCCTCCTCCGCCTCCTCCTCCTCCCTCCTCCTCCTCCTCCTCCTCCTCCTCCTCCTCCTCCCCCCCTCCGCCTCCCCTCCTCCTCTCCTCCTCTCCTCCTCCTCCTCCTCTCCTCCTCCTCCTCCCCTCCTCCTCCTCTCCTCCTCCTCCTCTCCTCTCTTCCTCTCCTCCTCCTCCTCCTCCTCCTCCTCCTCCTCCTCCGCTTCCTCCTCCGACCTCCTCCCCTCCTCCTCCTCCCCTCCTCCCTCCTCCTCCTCCTCCTCCTCCTCCTCCCCCACCTCCGCCCTCCCCCTCCCCCTCCCTCCCCCTCCTCCTCCTCCTCCTCCTCCTCCTCCTCCTCCTCCTCCTCCTCCTCCTCCTCCTGCCTCCTCCTCCTCCTCCTCCTCCTCTCCTCCGCCACCGCCCTCCTCCTCCTCCTCCTCTCTCCTCCTCCTCCTCTGCTCCTCCTCCTCCTCCTCCTCCTCACTCCTCCGCCTCCTCCTCCTCCTCCTCCTCCTCCACCCTCCCTCCTCCTCCTCCTCCTCCTCCTCCTCCTCCCCCTCCTCCTCCTCCTCCTCCTCCTCCTCCTCCTCCTCCTCCTCCTCCTCCTCCTCCTCCTCCTCCTCCTCCTCCGCCTCCTCCGCCCTCTCCTCTCCTCCTCCTCCTCCTCCTCCTCCTCCTCCTCCTCCCCTCCTCCTCCTCCTCCTCCTCCTCCTCCTCCTCCTCCTCCTGCCCCCCCTCGCCCGCCCTGGTCTTGTCGGGCCGTCGCTCGAACGCCTGGCGGCCGTGCGGGGCGGTCTGGGCAGCACCCCCAGAGGGGGCTCTCGGCGGGGCGCAGCTGCGGGAGACTGCCCCGAAGCCGGAGAGCCGCCGAGGGCTCACAGGAGCGGCCAAGGACCTGGAGCCTCGAGCCACCCCTCCCTTAGCAGTGGGCCTCAGTCCTGGCCTGCGCCAGTCGCTCCTCCCCCGCTGGCCGCCTGGCGCTCCCTCATCTGGCCGAACAGCCTGAGGGCCTCGTCGGCGTCCTCGCGCCTGGGGCGCCAGAGAGCAGCAGGCAGTGGCGGGGCGCACAGCAGGGCAGGGGGAGGGGGGAAGGCTTCTGAGGAGGAGGAGGCTGCTTCTCAGAAAGCGCGGGCCTTGCACCTGTAGATGAGGCTCGCGCCTTCGAAGAAGCAGGGGTGCTTCTAAGAAGCCCTCCCCCTCCCCCACCACCCCCCCTCTGCGCGTGTCCGAAGGCAGCTGCATCAGCACGGGCTTTCGGAGGCCGGCGCTGCCGCCACGTGGTGCGGGAAGCACGCGTTCGGTCTCCGGGGGCGCTCGCAGGGCCCCCGGACAGGCAAACAGCGACTGGGGACGAAGAGCCGGCCCTCGGGAAGCTCGGGACTCCTGGGGGCCCCGCACTGAAAAAATCACGACGTCGAAATGTCGGGGCACCGTCGAAATGTCGGGGCACGCCCCGGTCGCGGCGCGGAGCGCGCCAGGGGCTCGCGACAGAGGCGCTGCCGGGGGCGTGGGGAAGGGGGGTCCGGCGCCGAGCCAAGGTCCGCGCGGGCCTCCGGAAGTTTGCGTACACCCTGCGAAATTCTTAAGAAATCATGGGTTCAGAAATTCATTGTCTCAGATCTTGAATAAAAACCCAACATTTCTATTAAAAACTTACATTGCAACGTTAAGAATAATCGAGACTCTGGCCGAAAACTCAAGTTTTCTTAAGCATCGCCTAAGGTGTAGACAACCGCTTCCTGGGCGCTTCACAGCACCCGCGGCAAGCGGAGAGACGGGACGAGGAGGGAGGGCGGGCGCCACGCCATCGCTCGGACGTTCCTGCCCCGTGCATTTGTCGACGTCGCGCGTGTATCTTTCTCCGTCTGGAGGATCCCAGAGGTTCCTCAGTGGTCCTCGCCGAGGAAAGACTACACACGTCCGAGCGATGCGAGGACACGAGGGGGATTGGATTGGATTGGATTGGATTGGATTGGGCATGCGGATCACTTTCCTTGGGGGGCAAGCCCCAGACGGGTGGGGAGGAAGGCACGACGAGAGCTGCCGCGACCCTGGCATCGCCCCAGCGTGCCAGCAGCATCCCGCGCAGGCCGCGCCCCAGCGATGAGGGCCCGGTCATACAAATTCGCCGGCCCAACGGGCCAGGGCGTGCTAAGATCTCCGGTACTTGGTTAACAGTATTTCTAGTTCGCGCGCGCGGGGCGGCCCCTGGGGGTCCCCGGACGAAAAGTACCCCGGCAAGGTCCCGGCAAGTCCCCGGCAAGTCCCCGGCAAGGTCGGGTCAGAGATGCCGGAGTTCTGTTACAGGGCCCCAGGACGGGCCAAGAGGTCCCCAAGAAGCCTCCAAGACGGTCCAAGAAGGCCCCGAGACGACCAAAGATCGCCCGAAGACGCCCAACAGGGCCCCAAGACAGCCCAAGAGGCCTCCAAGACGCCCCAAAGGCCTTCCAAGAGGCCTCCGAAGAGGGAGCCGAAGCCAAAGCGGGGTATGTTCTGTGGTGTTGTTGCGGTAGTTTCTATCATATCCTAGAGAGGCTGTGCTGATTTGCTCGGCGTTCCCGGACCTCCAAACGCCAACAGGCTTCCCAAGACCGCTCCAAGACGCCCCAAAAAGTGCCAAACGGCCCTGGAACGCGGCCCAGAGGGCCCCCAAGACGGCCCAAGTGCCGCCCAAGACGGACCAAGAGGCCCCAGACGGGCCCAGTAGGGGCTCAGACTAGCGCCAGAGAACTGCATAATCAGATGCCCGCCGCAACAGAAGCGCCCAGAGGCCCCTTAAAGCCCCAAAGGCCCCCAAGAGCCCCCAAAGACGCCCCAAGAGGCCCCAAGAGCCCAAAAAAGGCCCCAATAGACGCCACCATACGGCCCCAAATAGCGGCTAAACACAACCCGGCATGGGCCGGCGGAATGAGCGAAACGATTAAATAAACGCAAAGTAACTACTCGCACAAGGGCCTGGATCTACCTTGGGGGATCTGCGACCCCTCACGTCGAAACAGACGTGTGACTTTCGGACGTACGCGCCCGGTGATCATTGAGCATATTGTACAGTAGGGGGCCGACCACAAGAGACCTCCCATAAGAAACCCAACCCTGAGACCCCAGGACGTCCATGGATTTGTGGTGTGGGAACGTCGCGCTCTCCAAAGCAAAACCATCGAAACCCACGAAACCCAGGGCACCCTGGACGCAGGCAGGGTGTTTCTTGGCATCCAGGGTCCCACAGGCCGATTTACCCCCCTCCCCTGGATGGGGATATGGACTGTTCGCTTCGAATGTCGAAGAACATCCCCAGCTGGGGTGGTGGGTGGTGAGATGGTGAGGATCAGGAAGGGGATGGGGTGGGGATAAGGATCGGTTAAACGATACTGGCTCCTCTATCTTCTGTGACATGGACACGGCGGCTAAACGCACGCGGAAACGACAGAACCCCTACCATCAGACTGGTATTGGCACGTAGACTGGAACATCCACCATATTTTCTTGGTGGAATCCACAAGCTCGGCTGCCGCAGTGAAGGCGAGAATGCAGCCATGATAATACTCTCGATTCGCTTCCAAGGGCCTCACAGTTAGCTCCAGCGCTCCGTGGAAGGCCACCCCCAGCTGATCATGTCTGCCCCTACCGATCCTGGCGCCGCAAGACCGTTGAAAAGGACGCAAAAAGTTCCAATCGGATTTTCCCAAAACAGACGCTGCAGGGGTAGAGCACAAGTAGAACTGCGTGACATCCATGCGGTCACGCTTGCACATGAATCAAGTTGTGCCCGGGCAGAACACCTTGGAGACACAACCCGAAGGGAGATGCCCAAAGTGCCAGCATGAATTCAGATGCAGTCGGACCTCGCAACATGAACGGCGGCACAGACCCGCCCCAGGCATCACTTCTGCACCGCCGTTGCGAGACGCCTCGAGGTGCCACCCCGAGACACGGCCGGCCACCGGCACCACCCCCACTTGGCCGCCGGCCTCGAGTAGCGGAGGCCCCGCTGCCAAAGGACTTAAGTTCCCGCGCCCCCCACGTCGGGGGACCCCTTCGAATAATCCCATCGGGCCTCTCAGGGGTGGTACGGCGGGCCCGCACCTATTGTGGCTGCCCAACCACGAGGAAAGAGACTCTCCCACAGCCCCGTCGAGCTGTGGTGACGATCGG